GCCGCTAGTGCGACCTGGTCCGAGTGCCACCGCCCACCCCAACCTCAGTGACACGTAGGCGGGACGCCCATCTCTGGCACAGGCGCCCCTCCACCTGCCCAGGTGTCAGACAACAGACCCACCGGTCCGGCCAGGTTCACCCGGCCCAGCACTCACCCGCTGCTCTCACCCACCGGCCAGAGGCAGTACTCAGGTCTGAAGCGGGAAGCACTGCCACCGTCCGGGGCAGAAGCCTGGCTTGAAGCCAGTGAAGCCAGAGAGGGGGCTGTGCCACAGGCTGGGAAGACGTGGGCCAGGCCCAGTGGGCACAATGCCTGGGGTCCCCGGCTATTGCCCATTCACAGCCTGGCTGTGTGCCGAGGGCATGTTGGCACCACCAGGTACTCGCTGATGGCCTGCCTCCTTCCCTGTTGGAATCGTGCTGGGCCCCATGGGGACAGACCACAGCACAAGCCCGCAGCTCTCCTGGCTTCGGGAAGTGGGTCAAGGACTTTGGACAGCCACCCTGGGATACAGCCCACGCCCAGCCCCCTGTGCAGCCCACCAAGCCCCGGGCAGCCCACCAAGCCCCACCTCAAGGCGGCTCCCACCACAGACCACACACAGCCACCACAACTTCCTTGCAAAAACCCTCGGCTCACCGGAGGGCCAGTGGAAATTTATTTTTTTGTCCTTTCTGTCTTTTCCCCAAGTGGCTTTTCCTTGCAAAATGCCTGACATGACCAGAGGGGAACCTGGGAGAAGGAGGGCACCCTAAGAGGCAACCCAGGGACTTAAATACAAGCTGGAAGGCAGGGCACAGGTGGGACAGGCGAGACAGCACAAGGGACATGGCTTGTCAGGTAGAGACCAAAGGGTTTTTTTGCAGGAAGAAGCTGTGCCAGAGGGCCAGGGGCTAGGATCCTGGGTGGGAGGGGGTGAGAAGAGAGACCCCCAACCCTGGGTTGCACCCATATTCCCCAGAGAAGTAGCAACAGAGGATGAGGATCTGCCCTGTAGGCTCCAAGGAAGGGGAGAGAAAGCCACTGCGCTGCCTCAGGGAAGGGAGGTGCTGGCAGAGTGAGGGTTAAGGCTGGTGCCGGCCTCAGGCACGGTGTGCCTTCCACCTCCGCCTGCCTTGAGGACAAAGGGGCACGGTGGGCAGGCAGCACATGGGCCTGGCTCTGGCAGGGCAGGGGGTGGCAAGAGCAGGCTCCCTCTGGGCACAAGACACAGGCCCAGCTCGGCTGCCCGCCCACCTGCACTAGATGGGCTCAGACCTCACTGTGGCTGGACGGCTGGAGCTGTGAGTGTGGGAGGGGTGGGAGGAGCGGTAGGGAGGAGGGGAAAGGGGGGCTGTTGGGCCTCTGTAACCCCCATGCCCGTCCTGAGGTCTGACCTAGGACCCTGGATCCCAGGTCCTGGTCCCCGGTCCCATTTCTGGCCCCGGGCACTGACTTCAGCCTGGGATAGTAGAGGCCAGGAGGCCCTCAGTTCGTGGGGAAGGGTTGGGCAGGGGAGAAAAGGACAAGGAGAGAAACCCACTGCAGCATACATGGGGGGCCAGGGGAGGGAGACAGACAGAGGGGCCCTCATCCCAAAGAAAAGTGTATGGTGGCGTATCTTTTAAAGTTACCTAGAGGCAGCAGCAGAGCGAGGCCCACAGTGCCCCAGCCCCAGGTCCTGGGTGTCCTTCCTTGGGGGCCGTGGTAGAACCGAGGCTCAGGGTGGCAGGCAGATGGGCCAGAGGGAGATGAGGAGCCAAGGACACCCCAAAGCCACAGACTCAAATACCCCAGGAGAGGGAGGCACCTCCTGCCCCCTCCAGGAGCATCATCTGGAGAAGGTGCCCCTCCTGTCCCACCCCGCGCCCCTTCTAGCAACAGCCGCCACCAGCTGGCTTCACGGGGGTGCTGTCGATCTTGAGGTTGGGTCGCTCACCCCCGGTGGCAGCCCCCGGGCCCATCCGCTTTTTTATTTCAGCAGCCATGGTCATGAACGCCTGCTCAACGTTGGTGGCGTTCTTGGCACTCGTCTCCAGGAAGGGGATGCCCAGAGAGTCTGCAAACTCCTGACAAGGGGAGAGAAGAGGAGAGAAGCGAGGCGTGAGAAGGCAGTCGCCCCAGCCCCCCTGGGAGGCCTGGCCCCGGCCGCTCACCTTGGCTGTGGTGTTGTCCCACCACCTTCTTGGTGGTGAGGTCACTCTTGTTGCCCACCAGGAGCTTGT